ATAAGTGACGTAGGTCCACGCCTGGGAATCAAACCTGGACTGCTGAAGTGGAGGGTGCTGGACTTAACCATTTGGCCACGGGGCTGGCCCCAATAAAAACTATTTTGTAAAGACAGTTTATTCATTCATCCAACAGATAGATATTGATTGCCTGCTGTGAGCCAGCCACTGTTCTTAGTGCTGGGGTGTAGCTGTGCTCAGAACAGCCACACACACCTGCTCGCATGGATCTCACAGTCCAGTGGCCCATTCCTGGCTCATGTCACGGAGAAGCCTGGAGCGTTATTTGGGTGACATCAGACACAGACAGGTGTTGGTGTCCAAATGATGCCATAAGGGCTCTCTGTCCAGCTCTTGACTCTGTTTTTCTCTTTGTGGCTTTGTTTTCACGCAGGCTCTTGCTAGGAAGTAGCAGCCTCTAGTTTCTGTTCTGCAAGCTTAGCAACCTTGGTAGAAAAAGAACCTTTTCCACTAGTTCCAGCGAAAGTTCCAGGGTTGACTTCTCTTTGTCCACCCATCCTGGACAAATTCCTGTGATTCTGATGGTCAGGTTTGGGTCTCCTGCCCACCACAAGAGGAGGCAGAGAAATGTTTGAAAAAGCCCCAGTGAAGGGGGGATCCCCCAAAGGAAAACTTTCACCAGAAGTAGGGGGAATGGGTACTGGTTAGCCAGCAGAAACAAGAAGTCTGTGTTGTTGTTTAGTGTAGGAAAAAGTGTTATATTCTACTTTCCTCCCTTCAGTATCATCGAGGGACTGAAATAAACGTAGGATTATGGAGCGTCTGCTCTGTAAATAGCATTGTATTACCTCCCTTAAAGGGTGAGCCAGAGGGCATGTTCTGCACTTGGCAAGCCTGCAGCTCAGAAAGTCAGCCCCAAATCATTTAAAAGGGAGCTATAGGGGCCGGCCCCGTGGCTTAGCGGTTAAGTGCGCGCCCTCCGCTGCTGGCGGCCCCGGGTTCAGATCCCAGGCGCGCACCCACGCACCGCTTCTCCGGCCATGCTGAGGCCGCGTCCCACATACCTCGGGCGCACACCCACGCACCGCTTCTCCGGCCATGCTGAGGCCGCGTCCCACATACAGCAACTAGAAGGGTGTGCAGCTATGACATACAGCAATCTACTGGGGCTTTGGGGGAAAAATAAATAAATAAAATCTTTTAAAAAAAAAAAAAAAGGGAGCTATATACGGGGCCAGCCCCGTGGCTTAGCGGTTGGGTGCACGCACTCCGCTGCTGGCGGCCCGGGTTCAGATCCCGGGCGCGCACCGACGCACCGCTTGTCAGACCATGCTGAGGTGGCATCCCAGATACAAGGAGGAGGATTGGCAATAGATGTTAGCTCAGGGCCAGTCTTCCTCAGCAAAAAGAGGAGAATTGGCATGCATGTTAGCTCAGGGCTGATCTTCCTCACAAAATAAATAAATAAATAAATTTTAAAGAACTGAAAAAGGGAGATATATACACATGCACATATGCATATACACATGGAAATACCTACATACATGCATACGTGTACATATGTAGTTCCATTTTATTTAATGATTTTGTATGTAGCCAGATTCTTTTTATGTTGTAAAAAATAGCTTCTAGCTACTGTTTTATATATAGATTTTATATACATACATAATATATAAAATATATTTATATATTTGATATATGTAGAATTATATATATTATTAAAAACATATATAAACAACAACAAACACACACATAGATACAGAGAACAGATTGGTTGTTACCACAGAGGAAGGGAGGTGGTGGGGGGCGAAAGGAATTAAAAGGGATGTTTGTACAGCGATGGATGGCAGCAGACTTTTGGTGGTGAACACGATGTCAGAAGTCAGAAGTCAAAATATAATGATGTACGCCTGAAATTTATGTAATGTTATAAACCAGTGTTACCTCAAAAAAAAAAATATATATATATATATACACTCATATATGTATATTAGAAATATGGAGAGAAGTACACACCCTTCAAAAACAAGGCTATAGCATAAAAGGAATATATAAAAATATCCCTTTTAAATGAAATTATGTATATTTATATATGACATAACATATATAATTATGTAAATTTTGTATAATAAAATATGACATTTATATAAATTTTATGTAATAAAATAGATACATAAATACTTGACATAAAATTCAGGGTACTATTTTTCACTTAAAGACTTTCTATCAAATAAATCACAGCTATGGCAAGCCTTATGTTATAAAAGTAAATATTCAGTAACTTTGAACCTAACATGAAACCTTACCCGTAGCTTTATAAAATGAACATCTACATGCTGTATTCGTTGCTTACAAAATGGAACCCAAGGTGTAATAAAGTAGCAATAATGCCTGAATTACTTCACTTTACCGTACATTTTAGCTGTCCCTATTCTCTTCCAATGAAGAGCCCTAGACTGCGTGTTGAAGGTGTAAGAAGGGATGAGAATTATGACAGAAACAGAAGTAAGGTGGTGAGCAGGGATGGTTCCGAAGGACAGAGAGGATCAGACACACTAGGAAGCCATTCCTGTTTGATGAGACCATGGCAGCAGTCAGGACAAGCAAAGTGACCAGCTAAGTGGTGATGCTCTAGCAGGCACTCGGGAGCAGCACTGCAGCTGTGATAAATCAGGAGGAGGCTGAGAGTGTGTGACAGGATGAAAGGCGAGCCCTGGGGAGGCGCCTGGGTGGGCCTTCTGCTTGTTTGTAGGTGTTGAGCCAGAGCTTACATGGTGTCAAGGTGGGTGGCAAGGCCATTGACCTACCACCATAACAGCTAAGGGCTTCTTTTTTTTGTGTGTGTGTGTGTGTGTGTGTGAGGAAAATCAGCCCTGGGCTAACATCCATGCTAATCTTCCTCTTTTTGCTGAGGAAGACCGGCTCTGAGCTAACATCTATTGCCAATCCTCCTCCTTTTTTTATTTTCCCCCAAAGCCCCAGTAGATAGTTGTCTGTCATAGTTGCACAGCCTTCTAGTTGCTGTACGGGGGACGCAGCCTCGGCATGGCTGGACAAGTGGTGCGTCAGTGTGCGCCCGGGATCCGGGCCGCCAGTAGCAGAGTGCGCACACTTAACCGCTAAGCCACGGGGCCGGCCCGCAGCTAAGGGATTATTGAAAACATTTATGTCCTCAGTGAGGGGTTTTCTCTTTCAAGAAATTTGAAAGAGATTTGAAAATAAAACTGGTATTTTGGAAGGGAAATGTCTAAAGTGAGAATATGCTTGATATTGAAGCTTTGAAGGACCACCTCATACCTCTGCTTTGTGAACATATATCTTGTGTCTGCCATCTTAAATCCTCCGAGTCTCTTGGGAGTGTTAACATCTAACTGACCTATTCACAAATAAGTAGTGTTGTCTGTGGAGTCGTGTTTTTCTTTTGTCTTTTTCCTGGGTTCTGAGTTCAGGTCCCATATCTTGTCATTGCATTTGGCCACCCAGCTTGCAGTGAGTGCTCAGTGACTGCTCACTGAATGGTGATGACCTTCATGCTGTCCCAGTGGATGTTTTTATATGTATAGTTCCTTTACATGTGTATGTTAATAATTTTACCATCTGAGAAGTACTGGCAAGAAGTAAGGTTCTTTTAAAACTTTGCAGTTCTGCTTAAAACTTTGCAGTTCTTCTATAGCAATGAAACTTGATTTATGTGTGCTTTCAAAAGTGTTGTCACATACATTTTACTTAGTTCTCATGTTTACCCCAAAGAATAGGCAAAAAAAATATATTACAAGTACATTTGTTTCTTTAGCCTCCACAATTTTATTCATAATACTGAGTTCTCTGTGTAGTGGTGTATAGAATTTGAAGATTATTACAGTATTCAGTACCCAAATAAAGTGTGAAGAGAGAATAAACTAAATTCTTTCACCTCATTGGGAGCTATGCATATAAAACGAGAGAAATTTAATGTAATAAATATGGAATCAGTAAATGGATATTTGTTAGAGTATTCTCTGCACTTTTATGAATGTTTGAAGTATTTTGTGTTAAAAAAGAAATTTAATAAATCATATCTTAGTTATTCAGATTAAATCAATGGTCAAGTTACGTAGGAATGTATGAAATGTTATTTAGGACATTACGAAATGTTGCCAGAATATTGCCTCCTGTTTGCAGAATAAATCCTGCATAATAGTCACCATAGCAATATTGCAGCTCAAGTGTTGAACTGCTGGTTTTGAAGACTGTGTTGGGGAAATTAGACAACTCCAACCCTGTAAAGGGGATGTTGTATTGTTTGTGGTAAGCTTACTGTTAAAGGCGATAACCAGCATTGATGTGTCTGATAGTTGGTTTGTTCTTTTTACCTCCCACCTCACAGTGGTTTATCAGATACTATCATTTTGGATATAATATCGAACTATCTGGTACTTCCCAATCGAATCACCGTTCCTCTTGTCAGCGAAATTCAAATAGCTCAGTTGCGGTTTCCTGTACCAAAGGTAAGCATGTCTTAGCCTCCATCAACACTTAAAAATAGATATGGAGGACCTTTTCACATACTTGGGTGTTATAACTTCTTGTATTTCTCCTGACAGCGACCTTGCCACATGGACCTTGATGCAGTAAAGGTAGTTTGTCCTGCCACACTCCTTAAGAGATTGGCTAATGAGCTTCTGATCTGAAAGCTTTCACAGAGACTTCAGAGCAGTTCTTAAGCCTCAGCTGTGAACCTGAAAGGTGCCAATACAGATTTAATTCTGCAAATGTTATTGCAAGTCATAAAGGGCAGCTGTGACAATTCAGTTATCTCAGAAAGCACATACTCTCTGTATTTTTCAAAATGTAACAGCTTAGTCTAAGCAATGGAACTGTGTATAACAACTGGTGCAAGTGTTCTCTCAGATGTGAGAAGAGGCTAGCTATCTCTGGAGTCATTTAACGAGTGACACGGTAGAAGCAGTGCTGCTGTCACAACTGCCTTGGATAGGAAGGAAAGGACAGGGGCTGGGTCTGGGTCACAGCCCTGGGGTTTAGCAGCAGCTTCACTTTCAGGCATACTAATTGGCATGTCTGGGCCTCAGTTTCTTCATCTGTAAATTGGAGGTGATAACGTATCACACAGAGTTGGGTCACTGATATTGGGGTCATCTTCATTTGAGTAAACTGAGCAACCTCAGCTAAAGACTGTGAGAACTGGCCAGTCAAGGACATGCTCGTCAAGGAGGTGCTTGGAGTAGACGGCCCCTCCCAAGTGCGTGAGAGCTTTTCCCACTTGTGCTTCACCCCATCCCATTAGTCTGTCTGGCTTTGGGTTCCAGAAGTGCAGCGGGCAGCCCGCTCACGTAGTGTCTGTGAGGAGTGTGACTCTGACACACCCAGGACAGCTTATCTTACTGAAACAGAAGTGTTGAGTTGGTCCTATTTCATTGGGCGTGGTAGTGTTTTTAGTTTGTTTCCTGAAGTGGAAGTAGACAACTTTTCCCTGCTGCCTATTACTTTTTCTAGTTAAATTAGATCTCAGTAACAGTGCACAAATCAGCAAACATGCTTGAGCATTCTTACGCAGTCACGTACCATATAATGACGTTTCGGTCAACGACGGACCACGTATATGATGGTGGTCCCATAAGATTAGTACTGTAGAGTACCAGTAGGCTGTGTAGTAGGCTGTACCATCTAGGTTTGTGTAAGGACGCTCTGTGATGTTCATACAACAACGCCGTCTGACCACACGTTTCTCAGAACAGATCCCCCATCGTCAGGCGACACATGACTATATTTTTCAAAAGTAACAACTCTCCATTTAATTGATGCCCAGTTATGTTGTTGGCATTTAGCAGGTTTAATGGAACACTATATATGAGAAAAGGATGTCTTTTTTCATCTCCTGATCCTCATCTGTGAAAATGCAGGAATTCCTTTCCGTGTAGAAATCCTTGTGCTCCTTTTCCACTTAGGCTTTTTTATTCTGAGTATAGGTGAGCTCTAAGCCTGCCGGAATCCAGCCTTCCTTAACCATGTGGGGTTTAAAAGCTGGCGATGCTTAACTATGTTGCCAGATTATCTAAGCTTTAGGCATATGAAAATGTAAACAGGAAATTTTAAGTTTTTTGAAGTGTATTTATTTATTTATTTATTTTTTTCCCCTAAAGCCCCAGTAGATAGTTGTATGTCATAGTTGCACAGCCTTCTAGTTGCTATATGTGGGACGCGACCTCAGCATGGCCGGAGAAGCGGTGCGTCGGTGCTCGCCTGGGATCCGAACCCGGGCCGCCAGTAGTGGAGCATACGCACTTAACCACCGAGCCACCGGGCCGGCCCCTAAAGTGTATTTATTTTTAAAAATGCATACTTTCCTATGCTGATTGGGTCAGGAATATTGCAGAGTAATTTTTTAAAAGGGTTGTGGGGGAGAATGCCGCCCTATCAAAATGTAACTTTACCACCTTTGCTTGCTTTGAAAGAAATATGAGTGAATATTTTTATTTTATCAATTAAACAACATTCTAGGAAAAGAGAAACATGTTTCAAGTCTATGAGTGGTAGTATTTCACAGTTTCAGTTTTCCTATCTATAAAATAAGTTTGACAGTATTTCCTAGGATTGTTCTAACAGTTAAATGAAGTAATCAATGCATATCAAGGGCTTAGTAATGGGTCTGACACCACCTGCAGTGTTAGTTATCACTTACTGTAGTACTGAAACAGGATTGTTTAGTGACCCGTGAGGCCCTGTGTAATCTGACCTCCTCCTGCCCAAGCCTGGCTCCTTGGGCTTCTGCAGCCCAGGGTTGGTCTGGGATCTCTGCCAGGAGAAGTCTCTGGAGGGGTCAGCAGCCCATACTTCACTCCCCTCCTGCCTCTGGTCTCCTATCTAAACAGTGCCCTTTGGACACTGTTGTCTTGCCCTGCTTTAGTGTCTCCTTAGTGCTGCACCTGACATATTACACCTTCACTTTCTTCTTTGCTGCACAAGAAGAGAGTCTTTGTTTTGTTCCCTCTGCACCTTGTTCTTAGGAAGGACAGCACACAGCCGTCCACGTCTGTCACATGAACCCACGAACAGTCTTCATGTTTGTTCTCTTTTTCAGGGTGTTCTAAGGATACATTTTATTGAAGCTCAGGATCTTCAGGGGAAAGATACTTATCTGAAGGGACTTGTCAAGGGAAAGTCAGACCCCTATGGAGTAATTCGAGTTGGCAACCAAATCTTCCAAAGCAAGGTCATCAAAGAGAACCTTAGTCCAAGGTGGAACGAGGTGTACGAGGTAAGGTGTGTCCAGTCATGTCACTGGGCTTCATCCCGAAATTCTGATTCCACTCCTGTCACACAGGAGTGTGGTGAATTTAGGTGGTAATTTAAATTCTTTTTGCTTTAATTTCCCATCTTTAAAAAGTATTGTACCTTCTGTCCCTGCCTTACAACATTCTCGTTATGCCAGCACATAAAATTTTATTTATTTGTTTTTTGTGAGGAAGATCAGCCCTGAGCTAACATCCATGCCAAGCCTCCTCTTTTTTTTTTTTTTTTTTTTTTTTTTGCTGAAGGAGACTGGCCCTGGGCTAACATCCATGCCCATCTTGCTCCACTTTATATGGGACGCCGCCACAGCATGGCCTGACAAGCGGTGCATCGGCGCACGCCCAGGATCCAAACCCGGGCCGCCATCAGCAGAGCGTGCGCACTTAACTGCTACGCCACGGGGCTGGCCCCAGCACATAAAATTTTAAACCTTAATTATGTAAAGCAATCACAGTTAATAGTTGGCCAAATATTTTTCATAATGTGAAAAATGTTTTATGTGGTTATTAACCCATAAACATATACAAAAATTAGATTAATTATAGTTTTGTAAATTTTTTTTTTTTAAAGATTTTTATTTGTTTATTGTTTCCCCCCAAAGCCCCAGTAGATAGTTGCATGTCATAGCTGCACATCCTTCTAGTTGCTGCATGTGGGACACGGCCTCAGCATGGCCGGAGAAGCAGTGCGTCGGTGCACGCCCGGGATCCGAACCCGGGCCGCCAGCAGCGGAGCGCGCGCACTTAACCGCTAAGCCACGGGGCCGGCCCTAGTTTTGTGAATTTTAATTTAGTACATCTAGACATCTCTATATGTCAATAAATATAGATGGACATGATTTATAATAGCTGTTCACTGAATAGATACCATCATTTGTTTAGCCAAAGAGATCTCAGCTATTCACTTCAGCGTTATAACCAGTGCTGTTCCAGTGTAGCGTGAATGTAATTTTTCTTTGCTTGGCCAAGTTTTCCCCAGATAAAGCTCCTCAGAGTGGAATTGCTGCATCAAAAGTTATGTGATTTTTAAAGGACTGATACATTTTTGCAAAATTGTTCTTCAGAACAGTAGTGCGGTTTATATTTCACCAGCTTCCCATCCTCCCCATCAGGTCTGTTGCCAAATCTCTTAATCTCTCAGTGCTGGTAAGTGGATCACCTGTGGTTATCCCAAGGATGGCATCTGAACGGAGCCACTTCAGGACTAGAAAGATGTCCCAAGCCTGTACCGGGTTTGTGGGTTCTGTCCTGTTACCTTGTTCTGGAGCGATTGAACTTGACCCATTGAGATGTAATCCCAGATAACGAGAAACAAACACAGTGGACTGTTACTATGTGGGCAGGTGTTTCAGAATGATCTCCCAGTCATGCAGAAGTATGTGTGGTTTGACATTGAGAAAATGTAAGTGCTTTATAACTATTTACCACTGGGGAAAATACAGCACATGATGATATATACTGTAATCATTATACTCAATAGGTGACGATATTAGTAAAAATATAAAATAACTACTGATTATTAATTTTTTAGGCTTTAGTCTATGAACATCCTGGACAGGAATTAGAGATTGAGCTCTTTGATGAAGACCCAGACAAGGATGACTTTCTGGGAAGGTAAATCCTTCGTGAGTGTGAGGAGACTGTAGGATCACTCTTTCTTTTCAATAGATATTCTTAAAACTATAATATAATTTCAAAAATAGATTTATGTACATGTAATATTTTTAAATGACTCTTAGATATAACATTGGTTTCACCTTAGACTTCTTAAAACATGTTTTATTCCTAAAAAGTCTTACATTTACATAAGAGAAGGAAAGCTGCTAGATCTGTGTCCGTAGCAGCCACTAGCCACATGTAGCTATTTAAATTAAATTGATTAAAATTAAACAAAACTTAAAATTCACTTTCCTGGTTGTGCTTCCCCCATTTTAAGTGCTCAGTAGCCAGCTATGGTACATGGCCCCAAGTGCCAGCACAGCTCTCCAGCCCTCACATTGTGCAGACAGCTTCGCTCTGCATTGTAGAAACGGGTTTTTAAACTTGTTCGATTGTTGGATTATTTTTTGGGGGAGGAGTAATTTACATTGTACCTACACATTGGAAAAATAAATATTGATTTGTTCACTTAAGTTGAAAAACCAGTACAGCTGAAAAAAATGAACTTGTAAAAAATACACTTTAACCTAATCTTTATAAACTGAATTTCTTGTGGCAGAAAAGATACAGGGATTGGTGACATTGGGCAGGTGTGGCCTCATCAAGAATGGCCCGTGTATTGTGCTGTGACTTCAGAATGCATTCGTGAGACAATTTGACAAGGAGCAACCAGAAGATTTTAAGCAGGGCAGTGAGGAGACCACATTTGCATTCTAGTAAACCCACTGTGTGGCCTAGATGATCAGGGATTGAGCTGGAGCCTGGCAGACCATTAAGAGACTATTGTTAATACAATCTCTGTCTCAGCTTAGGGTCTAACAGAGGAAAGGGTGGCTACAAGAAAAAAGAGGAGCTTAATCATCCCATTTTAGTCCTCTCTGGCTTCTGGCGGGGGGCTTTCCATTCTTTGCAATAGAGCAGGATTATTTAGGGGAAATGGAACCGGCTGTCTTAGACATGCTGAGCAAGAGGCGTCTGGGGAGCTCCGGATCCACTGTGGTCCAGAGCTGGGGAGCAAGGTTGGGAAAGTGGTAAAGCCCTAATTCAGCATGCAGTCCATAGTGACGGATGGCATCGCGGAGGGAGAGAATGTCAAACAAGAGGGCTGGATGTTCTTGAACGTTTTTGGCACATTGTAAATAGCTACAAGGTGGGGAAGACCGGGTTTTTCACAGCTCTAACCTCAGCTTTGCCAAACTGAGTGCTTCAGCCTCCTGGAAACTAAACCCTGCTCTTCTCCTGACCTCTCTTGACACTCTTGGGTGTAAGCTTGAGGAAGCTTTTGGAAGAAGGCTGTTTCTTGATAAACTATGTAGCATTTTGTTGCATTTCTGGAGTACTTTTTCATAGACAAATGTTTAAGTTTATTTCAGTTATAAGAAGTGTGTTTCTATGTTCTAAATTTATTGTATTGTTATTTCTGTAGTCTTATGATTGATCTTATTGAAGTTGAAAAGGAGCGCCTTTTAGATGAAGTAAGTTTTCTTTGCGTATTGTTATACTTGATGAGCATTAACTAAGTAACCTACTGCTGCCCACCCACGCGATGCTCACAAATATTGAGAACTTAGGCCTTTTAGTAACAGCCAAGTGAAAACAAATGAGTTTAAGAGCCAAATCAGATAGTGTGTATTTAGTACCTAACATATGCTAGAAGTTCGTGAGGATACAAACACAAACCCGCTTTATTTCAGGCGGGCATGTGCTCTCTTTCTGGAGTCAGGGCGGAGGCCTGTGAGAAGCTCCCTTTAATAAAGAGCGTTTTAAAGGTAGCTGGAGTTAATAAGCAGAGCTGGCACAGTACAGGTGATGAGAAAGTGTAACATGAAAGATATCTGTAAATGCAGTGGGAATTGACAGCAAGTAGTTACTACTTCAAACAGGATATTGCTATCAGAATAAAAAGTATGAAAAAAGGAAGAGTTTGTGGTGGCTTCTAAAAGATGAATAAGGTTTGGATAAGTAAAGTGTAATTAACCAAATCAGTGTTGAGGTCTGCTACTTACAAAGTAACACATTTTGCTTCCCAAGCAGACAGCACTTGTAAGTATATAGTGATGAGTAAAAACAAACACATTAACTTATTTGGTATTGAAATTCAGTATTCAGGATCCATGTTATATTATCTCTTGGCTCATGAATTCTATTAAAATTCATATGTAGAAGCCTGATAGTACTGGATGGTACTAGAAGACATGTGAATCCTTGCATGTAAATTAGGGATGAAAATATTTACTGCACAGGGGTTTTGTCAGGTTTCAATGAATTAATATATGTAAAGCATTTAGAATGGTCTCCAGCCAGCAGGCAGTGCTGTGCAAGTTCCATCATCTTGGACCATAGCTCATTCAAATAGCATAGAGCTAAATATGGCAGGATTCAGTCCTTCAGCCTTAATTGAGAACTGTTGATACCTCAGTTAGTGAGTAACTTGTGACATTTGTAGAGACTGTGTTTAATTTGAATTTTCATTCAGGAGAACTTTTGCTGAACTTGTGCATTTTCTCTTCAGTGGTTCACCCTGGACGAAGTCCCCAAAGGAAAGCTGCACTTGAAACTGGAGTGGCTCACATTAATGCCAAATGCGTCAAACCTTGATAAGGTGCTGCGAAGGTTTTCTTGGAACAACCAGTCACTCCTAACAGCTGAGATTCGTATCTTTAAATTGTATTGCTACTCGGTTAAAAAAAAATTACAGCAATAGTTTTGATTATTGTGCTATAAGTCACTACAGTGACTTAAATTATAATAAATTAATAGATAAAGGGATAAATTAAAGATAATGTAATGTTATGGGGTTTTTTTGTTTGTTTTGGGTGAGGAAGATTGGCCCTGAGCTAACACCTGTTGCCAATCTTCCTGTGTTTGCTTGAGGACAGGTCGTTCTGAGCTATATCTGTGCCAGTTGTCTTCTGTTTTGTATGTGGGTCTCTGCCACAGCATGGCTGCTAGTGAGTGGTATAGGTCCATGCCTGGGATCTGAACCCCGGGCTGCTGAAGCAGAGCATGCCAAACTTAACCACTGTGCCTCTGGGCCGGCCCCAGATAATGGAATGTTTTTAAGAGAGATTTAGAAGTCATTCACACCTGTTTTACGAGATCTTGAAATTTGTGCTTGGTATAGTATAGGGTTTGGAGAGCCACAGATCACCTGAGTGCTTCATTTAATTGATTTGTGTAGAATCATGTCATTTAAAAGATACTTATTGTTTTTATTCTCTCCAGATTGCATATATTGGATAGTTACTTTCTCCACGTTTCTTATTTTCTTGAGCATTATAGACATAATCAGGTAGAAATAGTCTGAAGTCTTATGGAAATAGGCCTGCTGAGGCTTCTTTTTTTTTCCTTATAGGTGCTGACAGACATCAGAGCTGACAAAGACCAAGCCAATGATGGTCTTTCCTCTTCATTGCTGATCTTGTATTTGGATTCAGCAAGGAACCTTCCGGTAGGTAATGCCGTGGAAACTCATTTGAGTGCTCATTTCCTGGGAGTGGATCTTGCTGTGTTCAGCAATGCCGTGTCCCCTGTTCTTATTGCTGTAGTTTCACTTCACTCCAGCCCGAGAGAGCAGCAGTGGAGAGGGATAAGTGTGTATTTGCTTCATGAGTGTAATTTTATGTTTGCACATCTTATTGATTTATCCAGGATGTTCGGAATTATCTTTACTCTGACGTGTTTTGTGAAGAAATCTCCAATACATAGGAAAAGAATATGTCTAGTAGTTAGGGAAGAAGTTACTCTATAGAAAATCACTAATTATTAAGATTTAGTTATCTAAAGATGGAAATTGTCTCTATTTGGCATGGGAATAAAATGTAGCAGCTCTGAAGACAACCCCAGAGTTCATCCTGGCTGTAGCATGGCAGGATGACGGGCCAGGCAACAGTGAGAGGATGAGGGTGCTCCAGACATGCAGGCACAGGGGAGATACACACGCTGCCCTGCTGATCTGTCACACACACGGCTCCTGCAGCATGGGGCATGTGCTCCCACTCGTATGCATCACAATTGTTTTGCTCTTAGAAAAACTATACAGTACAGTTTTTATAAGTAATAACTATCACCATGGAGAAGGAAAATCATACAGCTTCAGTCTCGTGAGGCCTGGTGGGATCCTCCACCACCATGCTAAACCTCACTATTTAGAGAACTGTGGTCATTAGAAACGTTATGTTGTTGTGATCATTTTTTTTGAGTGCCCATTCACTTGTTCTATAGATGGTCATTCTTGCTTAATTCGTTGTGCTAAAGGCCAATTTTGTTGAAAGAAAGACTATTGCCCCCAGATACAGGGTGTTTTCCTCCTAGGATTATAGTGAATACTCCTTCACCCAAGTGCCTTTGTAGATGGTCTCCCTGAGGGGATTTACCTGGTGGAGACAGACAGGAGGGCACAGAGCATCCACCCAGCCCTTTAGGGTACTGCCTCTGAGGGTCTCCTAGTGGACTCCCGTCTCGCCTCAGCTCACCATGGTTGTACTCTGTCTCCTTCACTCATAAAGTACACGTTCTTATTTCATCTGTATGTTTTATTTAAAGTTTTTAACCATTAAAATCTGATTGATCATCTATTTTTTCCATACTGGGAAGATGTAATTGAACTATTTGTGTAAATTGTATATAATTGTATTCTTTCTTTCAGTAAAGGTTTCTTGACTGATTTTAACTTCTTAAATTCTTAATTTCTCTTAAAGTATTACCTTAAGCTTTTGGTCAATCTTCCAGTCAGAAGTCTGTGACCCTATCTGTTAATAATTTCAGTTTGGGGGAAGTTGTTTCATTATTTAACCTTTCTACAGAATTTCTTGTATGGTAGAACTTTCTGTTTTTAACCACGATAATGTTTGTTATAAAGTCTTTTATAGGGGCCGGCCCCATGGTGTAGCGGTTAAGTGCCCGTGCTCCGCTGCTGGCGGCCCGGGTTCGGATCCTGGGCGCACACCGACGCACCGCTTGTCAGGCCCTGCTGTGGCGGTGTCCCATATAAAGTGGAGGAAGATGGGCACAGATGTTAGCTCAGGGCTGATCTTCCTCACAAAAAAATAAATAAAAATAAAGTCTTTTATAATGCCTGATGAAAGTGAATTTGTTGTATATTTTAGGATATAGAGAATAGTATTGGTGAATTGGCAAGAAGGATTAGGCTTCTCGTTAGAACTGTGTGTTTTGTCACATTAAATTGAAATTTGAGTAATGTCATGTAAGCAAAAAAAAAAAAAAGGAAAATTTATTAACCTTCTATTAAAAGGGCACTTTGTGCATGAAATATGCTCTGGCCGTCAGAGGCAAAGCATCTTTGCAGAACCACTGCCCTGTTGGGTGTGTGTTTGGAGCAGGAGCGCTTGCCCACGGGCTCCCCTGCGTTTCTGCGGGATTCTTTGACACTCTGCGTTTTGCACTCCTGTGTATTAGTGCTGCCTGTGCGTTCATTGACCACGATCCACCATTCTTTGCTTTCTCCTCCTATTTCCACTTTCCTAAGAGTATCTACGAGGGAAACTTTGGGTGTGGCTACTTAAAAGAGAGGCGAGCGTCGGGACTAGTGTTTTGTGAAAATACTACCTCAGTCTATAGAGCACTATTTGTGAGTTCTCCAGTGTTCTTTCTTCCTTTTGTTTTAATGGAGACTGCTGGAATGTGGACTGGGACTTCTAATGCTGTCTACTCAGTGGTGGAATGACATCGCATGCTTCTTTAGTTTTCTTGCATGATTTCAGTTACTGTGTGTGTTTCTTCTGTGCTTGTTTTGTAAAATGTTAACACTGCTGTAACTAACATTGATGACTGCATCTGATGATGAGATGAACAGACCTGGTGAGTCATGAAAAAGCTTTGGATTCCTAAACTACTACTGGCCCATAAAAAAATAAAAGTTCTTCTGAGGGAAAAATGAAGCCTTAATGATTAAAGTTGATTTTCTTGTGGTTCATCTCACTGTGAGATGTAAAGATTTCTTTACAAGCTTTCAAAAAGCTTCCTTAAATCTTGCTCCTCCTGACCAAACACAGAAGTGTCAGAAATTGGCTTTCCCTAAAGTCGCAGCTGTGCCCCTGGGGACGGTCAGTGAAGACAGAAATTCACCTGTTACTCTGAAAACTTGCCCTCTCTCTCAGTGTTTAACCAGAGCTCCTATGGGAAAAAAATAGAGTTTATGATCCAGCTTCTTTTAAGGAACTTCAGGAGTTTCCTGGAGTGGATAATTGAGCATTTCTGACCTTTATTTGAGAAGCTGATTTTGGTCTCATTCTCTCTCTCCCTGGGGTCTCACTTTGGCACCTTGACTCGTATTGTTCTTGGTGTTTTTGGCAGATAGTTGTTTTTACTTGCTTTGGGGTCAGAGAAAGCCAGAGATGGCTTAGTCATTACTCTAGAAAGTCACCCTTTCTGAACTAATTATTGATTTAATTCAATAGCTAGTGAGATTCGTCAAGTTCATTCGGCCCTTGAATCTAATAGTGGTGGTGCTTTGCATTTTTGAAGAGTTTCCATTTCTATTTCCACATGCATTCTCAGTTTATTCTTACTGTAAAAAAGAAAGGAGGGGCAAAACTTGAAGAATAGGTATTTTGTCCCAAATAATAGATGAGGAAAACCAAGACCCTGAAGAACAGTTAGGTGAGCTGTTTGGAGTCACACCAGCGCTAAATCATAGCCATGGTCTCCTCCCTCTCCCTGCTTGCGCCTGTTTACAAGTCAAAATGAGATCAGTGGTGCATATTGGCAACTATTTTCTATCACTTTTTATAAAATGATTTTCTGTTTCGGGTATTTCTTAGTGGAAAATTGTAAGCCGCTATAAACAACAATGTGGCTCTGCTGCATCAACTCTGTTAGTCTACCTCCAATAGCTTTTCTAAGTTACTTTTTTCTGTTCTGTAACTGTTTCTTTTAAAGAAAATATTTCTGGGCTGGCCCCGTGGCTTAGCGGTTCAGTGCGTGTGCTCCGCTACTGGCGGCCCGGGGTCAGATCCCAGGCATGCACCGACGCACCGCTTCTCCGGCCATGCTGAGGCCGCGTCCCGCATACAGCAACTAGAAGGATGTGCAGCTATGACATACAACTATCTACTGGGGCTTTGAGGGGGAAAAAAAAAGGAGGAGGATTGGCAATAGATGTTAGCTCAGAGCCGGTCTTCCTCAGCAAAAAGAGGAGGATTAGCACGGATGTTAGCTCAGGGCTGATCTTCCTCACAAAAAAAAAAAGAAAGAAAATATTTCTGACCTTGTGTCAGGATTTTTTAAATTGTTTTGTAATATTTAGCTAAGACATTGCTGGGTTATCAAAACTGTCCTCTTGCGTTATCAAAATCACATACTCTGCCTTATGATTCATATAGAGCCATCAACAAAGTGTTCTGTAAAATAAATTTGAACAAATTAATGGCTTTTTTTTTTACCTGTTGATTTTCAATATGAAGTTAGATCATTGCTTTCTCCATGTTCCTGTCAAGGCTAAGACCATTGCCCTTTCTAGTAAAGGTTTTAGATGGCTGCCTTTGTCCTTCTGTTGCTCTCTGTCCTTCTGCCTGAAAGGAATTAGCTCGGAATTTCAGAGGAACGCTGAGGGTGTGGTCTGACTCCATGGACGGCTTTAGGACCTGAGGCTTGCGTGATAAACGTACATTTGCTGAGCACTTTCTAAGGGCTCTACATATCCACCTCATTTAGTCTCAGACCACCCTGATCACTTCTAGGTTAAGGAAACTGAGACAACACAGAGAGTGTGAGGGACTGAGATAGAGACCCAAGGTCAACTAGTAAGTAGCTGGGATTTGAACTCAGCCATGTCACCTGGAGTCCACATTCTCAACCCTCCTGTCTATTCCATCCTAGTATAAAGTGAATTGCTATCACTTTATTAAGTTTATGAGTTTATAATGCTGTATATGGAGTTAATCTGAGATGAGTGGTGTTTTTACTAATGTCTATTTCATACATAAAAATGCTAGCTGTGTAATATGAGACCCTTGGGTGTGATGATGCTAGGTGCTTTATAAAAGTTATCTTGGCTCCCATTTTAAAAGCACAAGTGGCTATTAGTGCCTCCATTTATGGTGAATAGCCCAAGGATGGAAGGTGCAGTCATGTCTGGAGGCCTCCCACTGGGCCCCTGCCCAGCACACCTGGATGATCTGGTCTGTCTCACCCCCAGGCCTGTGCAGCTTTCACAACCTCACATGGCTCCTCTTGCACCCCTATCCCCAAACCACGGCCTTTCTCCTTGTTTGCTTTAATTGATGCATGTTAAAATAATACACGCATTTAGTACAGGTCCTGTCTATCCAAAGTGAGCTTCTGGAAAGGTTCTTATGACACCTGAAGATTGCCAGTCCTCACACCTCAGGGTAATGGTTTCCAGCCTCGCCTGTCCTGGCTCCCCTGTAGAGAAAGACCCAGTGGGTCCAGTGTTTTTAGAGCTCCTCAGGTTCTTCAGTGGCAACCTGGGCTGAGGGCTGGCTTTAACATGGCATTAATTCCTTTTGGCCAGATGTTTGATCTTCTCATCTGGCCCAGCCTGCCATGGTCATGGGAGGCTGGTTGTCGATCTTTCTTGATTATAAAATCTGTTTCATAAAAAATAATAAAATTCAATTTATTTGAAGTTAATTACAATTAAAATGATAAAATCTTTAATCTTAAATGTTAGTCCTCAAAGGAGTTTGCAAAACAACTCAGTCTTGCCTTTTTGAGGAAAGTAATGAATTTTTAAAAATGAATAAAAGTATGACATAAAGCCCATAATAATAGCACTTTAAAGCCAGGAGAAACTTTGGAGATGATCTAATCAGCCCCCACATTTTAAACTTGGAAAAGAATGGGGGACAAAGTAGAGAGGGCCCCATGTCTGCTGTGGTCTTGCACGAAAAAGGTAAATTTCAGGAGGAAGAAAAGTAGCATCTGCTGTTATAGGAAATGATTTGGCTTCAGGGAAGTTTGGGCATCCTTGGCCCATGCATTTGTACTTTAAATAAAACCTTTAGTTTAATTATAGTTGATATTTTAGGGGTTCCATCAAAGGATAGTAAATAGAACCTTTTCCCAAAGTGTCACTCTTGGATTTTTCAAATCCCAAAGATAAGGGATAGGGACTAAGAGACTAGTAACCATGGAGGCTAAGGAGATGTATTTTGATATTTATAGATTAAAGGTTCATTCTGAGGTAGAATCTTGGGCATAAAGAAGAATTTTACAAATTATTTTTACTGGTTTTTGGGTAATTCTTGTTGGTGGTTTTCGTTTGAAGATTTTTTGTTTGTTCTCCTAAATTTCATGTCATTAACCTTACATAAACTCCTCATTGCATGTTTTATTAACCCTTGGTATATTCATTTTCTTCTGACTTGAAAGAGTAACCCATTAGAATTTAACCCTGATGTCTTGAAGAAGGCTGCAGTTCAGAAAGCTTTAAAGGTAAACTAATAGTTTTCCCTTCGAAAAGTTAATTAAAACATATTGAAAGAGATGATGCTTTAAACCCTTACGAGTTTATCAACAAATTGGTTCCATACTGATATAGTCATTAGTTGTCTATTACAGCTTTGTTACCAAGAATTAGTAGTGAGAAGAATTAAAGACAGCTTTGAAGATAAATTTTATAAAGTACCAATATGATAAATTTAGACTTCTGTCCTATTGGCCTTGGGTAGCAATATCTAAGGTTGTTTTAAATCATCTGTATTTTAATTGGATTCAAATTTGCAAAAATGGTGAAATAGAAGTTCTATTTAAAATCGTAATCGGTTTTTAGATTATGATTGACTGGTGTGCCTGGTGCAGTGACCATCCATTTAAAAATCACCTCTTCCAATATGCTGAATCAGGGCCGTCTCTGAGTTGGGGCCTCATGGCTTTTAGTGCTGCTGGGTTTGGGTGACAGATCTTTCGAGACGCTTTAAATTTCATTAAATGAGGTATATTGAAAACTAAGCTCCACTCCCTAAAATGACACGAACGTGTATTTTCTGGTAAATTGTTAAAAGTTTTCTATGACTTACGATGTTTTATTGTTCTTTCTCTGATTGCTTTGATCATTTTAGGCTTAAATATTTGGCGGGAGGGTCAGGGTTAAATGTAATTGTTTTAAGAAAATTCTATCCAAAGGAATCAAAAATGGTTTTTAGCCAGTTTCATCTAGAATAAGTTAAATTTCAAAAGTGAGGAAGACTGCCGAAGTCTGTTTTGATGTATATTCGTTAAGCCCTCACCACACCCTATCCTGTGGCTTAGCAGTGAATTACTCCTGTGGGAGTGCTAGTCAGCACAGTAGTTGAAATAACTGTTCCCACCAGAACAGCTGACTGGGAGGAATTAGATCAACAGTCTTTTCTCACTGTTTCTTTGATATTTGAAGGTTATTGACCAACAGAGCATAATGGTTAGAACGACAACTCTGAAATCAGGCTGTCTAGATTTGAATCACAGCATATCTGCTCATCAGTGTGACCTACAGCAAGATATTTAGTCCTCTCTGTTATTCATAGAATGGAAGTGATAATTATCTTCTTTATTGGAGTATTGAGTAAATTAAATAAGACCATACATGTAAAAGTGCTCAGGGTAGCTACGATATGTGTATTTTAATCGTTATTACATTATCTCATTTAAGCCTAACAACTAGGTTCTGGAAATGGTATTTATGCCCATTTTATAGATGGGAAAACAGGTTCAAATAGATGAAATATGTAGGTCTTGATAATCAAATGGTAGAGAGCTGAGATTTAAATTCAAGACAGTCTGACTTAAAAGCTCATATTTTCATTATACCTTGTGTCTCTTACTTGTGCTGATGCATTTTGAATATTGTACCCTGGTAGAAAACTTAGTCAGTGATTTAACCTCATTTCATGGAATCTAAAACATGATGATCCATTGTAAAATACAGCATTTTTTTATGTACCACTAGGAAAGGGGAAAAAAGTGGCTGCTAGGATTTATTTTTAAAATAGTGTTTATTTTATACTTACTGAAAGAATTTTTAGACTTTAGGATAAACCTATTTTTTATCATATGACTCACATGCACACACAAAAGGAAGATATAAGCAAAATAAATTGGTTACAGTAGTGACAACTATCTCAGTACTGTGATTTGCCCAAAAGCAGGTACATAAAGACATCAATTCTAAGTTTCATTCTGTTTTCAGGGATGTTAGAAAGAAAGAAAAAAAAGTGTCTTGAAATTGATAAGATAGGGGCCGGACCCGTGGCTTAGCGGTTAAGTGCGTGCGCTCCGCTACTGGCGGCCCAGGTTCGGATCCCGGGCGCACTCTGACGCACTGCTTCTCCGGCCATGCTGGGGCCGCGTCCCACATACAGCAACTAGAAGGATGTGCAACTATGACACACAACTATCTACTGGGGCTTTGAGGAGAAAAAGGAGGAGGATTGGCAATAGATGTTAGCTCAGGGCCAGTCTTCCTCAGCAAAAAGAGGAGGATTAGCATAGATGTTAGCTCAGGGCTGATCTTCCTCACAAAAAAAAAAAAGAAAGAAAGAAAGAAATTGATAAGATAAAGTAAATCTCTGGGAATGAATGGCTACTTTTTTAGAGATGAAGTAAGTATATTAAGAAACAAACTCAGCTTCTGTATCAAAGACTCAGAAGTAGCAGTAGCTTAAGCAAGACAGTTTATTTCCCTCAGTATAACAGAATTCTGTGACTCCACTGTGCTCCACCTCCAGCCAAAAGTGGGGGGCATGGTGAATGGGAGGATGCCCCTTCTTTAAGGCCAGACTGTTACCTGGCCAGGCCAACTGCAAGGGAGGTTCAGAAATAGAATCTTTATTTACAGAAGACTTGTGCTCAGCTGAAACTCAGGAGTTCTGATGTTAAAGGAAGGTGGAGAAAATGGATTTAGGGGAAAAATTAGTATTTTCTGCCACAGTAGTCTATATAGCCTTCGATATTTTTTTAACAGTATTTATTTCATTTTGCAGAATTCATTCACATCAAAAAGATGAACCAGAAAATAGATTATCGCAGTAGGTTTGGGCTAGTAATATTTTATTCCAGTAATCATGAATTTGACTCCTGTTTCTGTCATTGCTGCACTGTTGAGGGTTGACTCTAAAATAATTTAACTGAAAAACATTTTTGTGACCTTCTAATATTAATTTCCACTAACACAGATATTTAACTGCATCTTTTTGTGGGGCTAAGTTGTAAATAAACCTCATGTCCCATATATGTTGTGTTTTACTATGCTTTCTTGTATCAGCTGTCTGTGCTAAAGTATGCTTCTTACCATTTTTTCTTATTCCTGAATTTTTCTCATTATATTCATATTTGCTTAATTTGATTCTAGATTGATGTTTGTTCTACCAGTCAAAATGACTTAGAAGCTGATAAGCAGGATTTGATATCTGATAGCTCCATGTTTGAACAGCAGATACTAAGTTAAAAATGTAAAAACTTGTCTCTGACATTGTAGTATTTTTATTATTCCAACCAGAAGACTATTCTGAATTATACTCTCTTTTACATTTGTCCTTTCTCGTGTTTTTCTGTTTCCATTCGTTGTACTTTATTCACTTGGTTATCCCAGTAAAATAAGTTTTGAGAGCTGGAATTAACATTAAAGATTTCCAGAAGATTCCATTTTTCCAAAGTAGCTTTCTTTAAAAATAAAAGACCTTAACATTTAAAAATTGTGTGCAAATAGAAGTTTTCTTAATTTATTTTGTGGTAGATAGAATTATGGCTTTGGAGTGTGCGTAGTGATTGTTTACCAATTAAATCGTTGCCAGATATTCCCTGTAACTGAAGTATCAGAAGTAAATAGAAATGACTGGTAATATAAGCCAATAATTTCATTTTTAGTAAGCCTCATTTCAAGATGTGTTTATTTATTTTGTCTGCTTTTTGTTTTTGGATAGTCAGGGAAGAAGATAAATAGCAACCCGAATCCTCTTGTCCAGATATCCGTTGGGCACAAGGCCCAGGAGAGCAAGGTAAGGCACTGGTGTTCGGACCAGTTTCCTGTGACCTCACTGTTGCCAGTCAGGGGGACTGTCAGCCTGGTGATGGTGCAGGTGTCGGGACCACTGATTTCCATATCTTCTTTTTTTCTCAAATCAGTCATTTGATAACCAGCTACCTAATTTGGTAACAAACATGTTGTTCATTTTTTTAAGTAACATTTAAAAATAACATGAATATGCTTTTGCTTGATTTCATGGGGAGGTGACATGGGACAAATTTCTAAGTTTTCTTTGAATACTCTATAAATATTTTGTTTAAAATGATAAGCAACAGTGTACTTAAAATTCAACAAATAGAATTCTATTCAAGAATTGAGAGAGGGCGTTGCTGTTATGTTCTACTTTCTTAATATGAGAGAAAACATTTCAGGAGTTATCAGAGGTTATCGGCCATTGTTCACTTTTAACTGTTAACAATTAATTTAGGCAGCTTCCTGGCGTGCAGCACTGTGTAGTCCCTGGGACAGTAGTGGAACGAGGGCCAAACCAAGCAGAAGAAGTCCTTGTCATTGGGATGGGCTCACAGGGTGGGGTTTCATAACAGCTGATTTCCCTGACGCACTCTAAAAGCTTTGGACTGTCTCTCCGTCTTTTGAACAGTTTCCACAATTAATACATAATAGTACGTGCTCAGTAAATGTGTATCTTGGGATTTAAAATCATCCCAAGCTTCCAAATACAAGAAATGAATAAACATGGTGTTGGTAGCCTTTTCCACAGAAAATATCACAGAGCTTGTATTTGGATGTTTCTTTTAGATTCGGTACAAAACCAATGAACCTGTGTGGGAGGAAAACTTTACCTTCTTCATTCACAATCCCAAGCGCCAAGACCTTGAAGTTGAGGTATTTTATTTGCATTTTTAATCAATTTGTTGAAATATAATCAGCATACAAAGAACACATATTTAAACTGCAATTATGGACCCATCACCATAATCAGTACATCTTTGTCGACCTTATCCTGTGTTTTTTTTTAATTTTCAACTTTTGATTGATTGATAGTAGTATCTAGAAATGCAGTTAAGATTTTTTTTATTGACACCATATAGTACAACCCTGCTAAACTTGTTTATAAGTTCTGTTAGCTTTTTGTGGGTACTTGAGGATTGTCTTCTACGTGTTGTCCAGTAAGGATGGTTCTGCTTCTGTGTTTCCAGTCTGAGAGCCTTTCACTTTCTTTTCTTGCCTTGTTGCCCTGCCTGGCCTCCAGCCTTGGCATAAGTGGACACTTTTGCCACCTTCCTGATCTGAAGGGGAAAGCTCAGTGTTTCACCATTAGCTCTGATGTGTGAGGACGTTTCCTTCTACTCCTACTACTAGTTTGCTGAGTGTTTTTGTCATGAACGGGTATTGAATTTTGTCAAAGGCTTCTCTCTACAACTATTAAGATGATCATATGGTGTTTCTTTTTAACTCTGTAAATATGGTGAAATAACATCGTTGATTTTCAAATGTTAAACCTTGCAAATTTTTATTTGGTTTTCAAGACTTAACATTTGAAAACCTTGCAGGCAAACCTTTATTTGGAGATAAGCTCTACTTGGTCATGATATAGTATCCTTTTTATGCATTCAATTTAATTTGCTAAAATTTTGTTAAGAATTTTTGCATATTAATCATGAAGAATACTGATCTATAATTTTGTTTTCTTACAATGCCTTGTCTAGTTTTTGTATCAGGGTCATGCTGGCCTCATAGAATGAGTTGGGAAGTGTTCCCTCCTCTTCGGTTTTCTAGAAGAGTTTGTGTAGAATTGGTGTTTGTTCCTCGAGTGCTTGGTAGAATTCACCAGTGAAGCCATCTGGCCTGCAGTTTTCTTTGTAAGAAGGTGTTTAAATACAAATTCAATTCCATTAATAGACATAGATTTATCCAGCTTATCTGTTTCTTCTTAATGATTTTTGGTATTTACGTTGTTCAAGGAATTCATCCATTTCATCTAAATTTTGAATTTCTTGGCACAACGTTATTCATAAATATTCCTTTAACGTCCTGTGGAGATACTACTTTTCTTGTTCCTGGTATTGGTAATTATTGTCTTCTCTCTCTTTTTTTCCTGTGATTAGTCTGGCAAGAGGTTTATCAATTTTATTGTCTCAAAGAACCGACTTCTGGTTTCATTGATTATCATTATTGTTTTTCTCTGTTTACTATTTCATTGATTTCTGCTACAATCATCGTTTCCTTTCTTCTGCTTACTTTGAGTTTCATTTGCTTTTCTTTTCCTAGTTTCTTAAAGTGGAAGCTTGATTTTAGACCTTCCTTCTTTTATCATTTGGACATTTAGTCTGATATATTTCTCTTTAAGTATTGCGTGAGCTACAACTCACAAATTTTGATTTGTTGTGGCTTCATTTTCAGTCCTCTCAAAATACTTAATTATTCCCCCTTTGGTTTCTTTCTTTGACTCATGGATTATTTATTTAAAGGTCTATTAGTTCATTTCCACCTGCTTGGGGATTTTTCTTTCTATTCAGTCAAATTTAATTTCATAGTGGTCAGATGACGTACTTTGTATGGCTTGAGTCCTTTTAAGCTTGAGATGGGTTTTATGGTCTAGAGTGTTGTCTCTGTTGGCATGTGCTCCGAGTGTGTGGGGAAGGAGTGCTGTTGTGTGGCAGGGCGCAGTGTTCCCTGCATGTCAACAAGGTCAAGTTGGCTAGTAGTGTTGTTCAAGTCTTCCATATCCTTACTGGTTTTCTGCCTGCTTGTTATATAGTTATTGAGAGTGTGGTGTTTGGATCTCAGACTGTAGTTGTGAATTTATCTATTTTTTCCCCTCAGTCTCAGTTTTTGCTTCTTGTATTTTGAACCTCTGTTATTAGGTGCATGAACCTTTAGGATTGTTATGCTTGCCCACTGGATAAATTGATCCCTTTATCATTGTAAAAATCCCCTTTTACAGTTACACTTCAGTGATATTCTTTGCTCCATAATCGTATCTCCATATTATAGTCTGATACTAATCTAGCTACCCTGCCTTTCTTATATGGGAGTTAGTGTCGGTTTTTTTTTTTTCTTTTAACCTATTTGTGACTTTGTGTTTAAAGTTGGTTTCTTATACACACCATATAGTTGAATCTTGCTTTTTTATCCAATCTGACAATCTCCTCTTTTTAATTTTGGCGTTTAGGCCATTTGCACTTAATGTCATTATTGATGTGGTTGGGTTTGAATCTGCCACCATGCTTTTGGCCCCAGCTATTCTTTGTCTCTTTTTCCTTTTTTTAATCTGACTTCTTTTGGATTAATTGAGCATTTTTTATAATTGCATTGTGTCTCCTTTTTTGGCTTATTAGCTATACCTCCTTATTTTGTTATGAAATTTTTAGTGGTTGCTCCAGGGTTTCTGGTACACATCTTTGACTTACAGTCGTCTACCTTTAAGTAGTGTACCAGGTCGCAGATAATAGAGCAACCTTCTGTGGCATACTTCTGTTTCCTCCCTCCTGGACTTCGTGCTCTTGTCGTCCTACATTTTACTGCTGTGTGTTTAATCCCACAAGATATTTTACTGGTTTTGTTTTAAACAATTACTTATGTTTTAAAGAGCTTTAAAAAAAGTAAAGAAGTAGTCTTTCCTGTTTAGCCACACATTTACCATCCCAGGGTTCCTGATTCCTTCGTATAGATTCCGATTTCCACCTGATGAGATCTTCCTTCTGCCTGAAGGACTTCCTTTAACAGTCTCTGTAGAGCTGGTCTGCTGGAGATGAATTTTTTCAGCATTTGTATGTCTGAAAAAGTCTCTGTTTCACCTTTATTTTTGAAAGATATTTTCATAAGTTATAAAATTTTTGGTTAACAGATTTTTTTCTTCCACTGTCTTCCGTCTTGCGTTGTTTCTGATGAGAAGTCTGCTGTTGTTAAGTTTGGAAAATTTTTGGCGATTACTTCCTCCAATTTTTCCCCACCTCAAGTGTCTAATTAGTGCCTCATTACTAATTCTGTCATCTGTATAATTGTTGAATCTGCTTCTATGACTGATTTTAACCCTCATTATGGGTCATATATTCCTGCTTCTTTGGTTGCCTGGTTATTTTTCATGGTGAATTTTACATTATTGAGTGTTGGATTTTTGTATTCCTTTAAATACTTTGGTGCTTTGTTCTTATTTGCAGGTAAGTTACTGGGAAACACTTTGAGCCTTTCAAGCTTTGTTAGGCAGACCTGACAGCCTTGAGTCTTGGGATCATGTGGCCTCATTAGTCTGATGCCCCAGGTGTTATAAGATTTCTCCTCTCTGTTTGGAATGGATACTACCTGCAGCCCTTTGTGCTCTGGGAATTGTCTCCCTGCTCCTCCTGGGGCATCTTTTCTGGCCTCAGGTGGTTTACTCCCTCACATGTGCTGATCAGCTGAAGACACCCTCAGAGGCCTCTAGCTCTCTCCTTGGAGCTCTCTCTTCTTCCGCACCTCCTGTTCGCTGATTTTTTCACCTCGTGTCCTTAACTCAGGGGGCCCACTGGCTTCTGTCTGGGATCCTCATACTGGCACTCTGGCCTGGACACTCACCAGGCAGTGACCAGACCAGTTGTTGGGCTCACCTCACTTGTTTCCACTCTCTCAGGGCACTTCTGTGTCCAGTGTCTTGTGTTGTCCAATCTAAAACCCATTGTCTCATATATTTTGTCTGGTTTTTAAGCTCAGGTGGGATGGTAAACTTAGTTCCTTTTACTCCATCACGGCCAGAAGCAGAAGTCCTCCATTTGCATGTTTTAAAATATATGCTATATATAAATTGTACACTCAGGAGGAATTAGAGGGAGCTTCTTGGATGTATGCCTGCTACTTTCAATGGTTGTATGTTCTTCCCTCCTCTCACATTATCTTAGCTTAAAGGAAAGTGCTAGTAGGTGGATCACACAGCTTTTGTGGTTATCCTAGTGGTGAGTCTACTAAATGTGCCAGTCCAAACAGTTCTGGCTCCTGTATTTCTTTTTTGACGTGGCCTACTTTCCAACGTTCAATCTTGGAGAAGTTTGAGGGCCTCCATTTCCATTTGGATTATACAGCTCTGACTTGGTTCCTCAGCCCCCTGAGATCCTGAGGTCTGAGAGGGGATGTCCTGCCATGGAGTTCTCATGTCTCCTTGACAGACCCCAAGTCACTGTCAGGCGCGCCCAGACTATTCCTTTATTCTGTGTTTATTTTATATTTTCACGTTCTGTTTTATACGAAATGTGTATGTCTAGCTAATTTTTGTATTAACTTTTAAAAAGTTCTGCAAACATTGTCTCGTTATTTCATTTAAAAATGCTTTTGTGGTTGCGGTTTAAAAAGAAATAAGCAATCAGGCTTTTAGGTTTTCATGTGTAGTTAACTTCTTTGACTTTTCATATAGCCTGTGAAACCACCTACATTCTTACTCTATTTGGTCAAACTATTTTCAGAGGTGATGCTGAAGGTTATTGTTCAGGAGACAGAAATCGCCATGCCTTTAAAGCAGATATGGTAAATTTTCAAAACAACCGTATAGATTTTGAACAGGGAAGGAAGAGAAAACATTAGAAATGTTTTTTCTCTATAAACAAGTGTCACCAGTAGAAACTTGACACATCACTATGTGTATTGTCACCATTTTCACAGGGTTTAAGGCATTTCTTTCTAATCTTCAGATTTGTGTAGATTGCTGCCTCTTAGATCAGGATTCTTGTAATAGATTCAAAAAACATGGTGTTCTCTTTTTTTTGCTCATTATAATTGTGTGATGAGGAAATGACAGATACATGTAACATAGATACATTGTAACATCACTTGTTGCAATTTGTGTCTTCCTGAGGAGGTTTCCTACTGTGTTAATCATTTATGGAAATACTACATAGAAGGAGATGGCTGAAATATGTTTTTTAAAGACTCAATTTTGGACCTTTCTACATTTGTCCTCAGAGCTGAGTGTTTTCTGTCATGTGTTTCGCAGGTCAAGGATGAACAACATCAGTGTTCTCTGGGGAATCTGAAGATCCCTCTCAGTCAGCTCCTCAACAGCGATGATATGACCATGAACCAGCGATTCCAACTCAGTAATTCAGGTCCAAACAGCACTCTGAAGATGAAGATTGCCCTCAGGGTACTGTAGTCTCCCACAGTAAATCCAGGAGTGGATGGGAGAGCGGGCTACGGTGGTGATGCTCAAGGGTAGTCACTGCTTCAGTGTGTGGTAGAGGGCACGGGACCTGGGTGGACCATGCTCACAGTGCTGGTCGCAGGGCACAGGTGGACAGCGATCATGATGACAGCCACAGGGCATAGGACATGGGTGGACGGTGATCACAATGACAGCCACAGGATACGGGTAGATAGTGATCACATTGCTGGCTACAGGGCCAGGGGCTAACAGGAAGGAGCTTGTTTTGGGAGCATGGAAACTATTGCTGAATGTTGTGGGCGCTCAGGGGAGAGATGATTAAGACTCAGACTCAAACATCTGACAGAAGTAGTAGTTCCAGATTGCTTGAGCAGGC